TAAATAAAATTAAAATAAAATAAAAATTTCCTCTCCCTACCCACCCCCATAAAAAGGAGGATAGAGGGAAAACGGAGATTTAGTTTAATGTAGAAAATATAATCTACTTTAAGGAGAGCTCTGGAAACTTGCAGAATGTTTTGTCTTACCAATAAAAATGGATGCCCCTGATTCTCTGGCCTAAAGTAAGCCTGGAGAGTTTTCTAGAAGAGCATGAATATATGAAAATTATATTTCTGATAAGGGGTTACATCCAAAATATATAAAGAACACCTACAACTCAATAATACTAACAACTTAATTGTTAAAAATGAAGGTAATGTCACCCTTTGCAATAGCATGGATGGACCTAGAGACCATTATGCTAAGTGAAGGCAACCAAAGAAAGACAAGTACCATATGATTTCACTCAAATTAAGAATATAGTGAATAAAATAAACTAACAAAACAGAAACACACTCATAGAGAACAGACTGACAGCTGTCAGAGAGGAAGAGGGTTGTAGGGCCGAGTTAAAAAAAGGTAAAGGGATTAAGAAAAAGAAATCTCATAAGCACAGACAACAGTACGGTGATTACCAGAAAGAAGGGGGTGTGAGGGGAGGTAGCAGAGGGTATGGGGGGATAAATGGTGATGGAAGGAGGCTTGACCTGTGGTAGTAAATACATAATATACAGATGATATAGAACTGTATATCTGAAACCTATATAATTTTATTAACCAATGACATCCCAATAAATTCAACAAAAACCTTTTTAAAAAAATGAGGAACAGATGTAAATAGCCATTTCACTGAAGAAAAAATAAAAATGACCAGGAAGAGATGATCCACATCAGTAGTCATTAGAGAAGTACAAGTTAAAACCACAATGAAACACCACTTTATACCCACTAAGATGGCTATTAAAAAAATAAAAACTAACTAAATAAATAAATAAAAGCATCTGTGACAATGTAGAAAAACTGGAACCTCATACACCGTTGGTGGGACTATAAAATGGTGCGGCAACTTTAAAAAAAAAAGTTGGCAGTTTCCTCAGAAAATTAAACAAATTTATGAATCAGCCCAACAATTCCACTCTTAGGAATCCACCCAAGAGAAATCAGAGGTCCACACAAAAAACTTGTACATAAATATTCACAGCAGCACCATTCATAACAGCCAAAAAGTGGCAAACCAAATGTCTTTTAAGTGATGAATGGGCAAACAAAATGCACTATGCACATACAAGGGCACATTACATGCTACGGCATGGATGAACCTTGAAAACCTAATGCTGAGTGAGGAAATCATACACAAGACCATGTATTTTACGATTCCATTTATAAGAAATGTGCAGAAAAGGCAAATCTATAGAGACAGAAAGTAATGAGTGTCTGCCAGGGACTGACTAGGGTAGGGACAGGAAGTGGATGCAGCTGGGCCTGGGGTATCTTTCTAGAGTGATCGAAGTGTTCTCAAATTGGATCATAGTAATGCTCGTACAACTCTCCCTAAAGTTCACTGAACTGATTCGGGCTAAGATGAAAGAGAAAACATAAGTACCTGAGGTCAAAGGCAATATAAGGGTAGCTGAAGGAAGACCATGTAATGTCCTGTGGGGAAAAAAAGAGAAGAGTATAGAGACCAAATATAATGGCAACACACAGCTCAGCTCGTTAGCTGTTTTGGACAATACAGCAGTTGTTTTATGCGTTGGCAGTAAATTTCCTGTTTAGCATACAAGCGTATCAATTGTTTCACCTTTAGAAACTAATGTTGTAGTGCTGAGGTGAAATCCAGAGTTGGAATGATTCTGGCAGTCTCTACACAGTCACTCCTACTAACCTAGCAACTATGCAAGGGATTGAGAAAGTCATTATGTTGAATGGACCTTGATATTACAGTGAATCCCTAAGCAAAGAGTATCAGAATGGGAAAGAACCACATCTACCTGAATCAGAAAGATTATCAGAATAATTTGTCTTCACGGTTCTGATATTTAACTCAACTCTGGGAAGTAGAGGACTTGGGAGGTTTCTTTTCTTGTACCCTATTTTTCAATGGGATTCCCTAGGTACAATAGTACTGAGAGGATCAATTAGATACAAGATTCTTTATGAAATTCCTTAGTTCTAGGAAGCCTTTTAATGACAAGTGAGTGGAAACAAAAAGAATTTACATTCAATTTGAAACTAAACAAGCTGTCAAATGAGGGTTCCATTCTCCAGATCTGGGTCAAAAATAAATTCCATTTATGAGTAACTGCTCTGAATGAACTTTAAGCAAAAGAAAATTCTTTAAGTTAAGATAAACCTAACTTCCCCTCATTAAACAACAAAAGCTCTCTCGAGATGGTAACCCAACCTCTGCAGGTGTATTTCTGGAGTGCCAATGGAAATTCCTCAAGGTATCTCTTTCTTATCTGTACTATCAAAACACAGATGCCCTGCTCTCCCTGCTTCAGCCTGGATTCCTCCAGATTACAGGGTACTCCCTCAGAAACGGATGACTGCCAATGGTGAGCACCTGTCACCCCCATCTTGTGACTCAGAGAGAAGCATGGCTGAGAGCCATGGTGTTAATAAGGAGAGAACTTCTGTTAATAAGGTAACTGTGAAACAAGAGAGCCAAATCTCATTCACCTACTCAGATAATTATAGGGAGCACACAGGCATCCTTCTGCGGATCTAGTTCTAAGTGATTTTTATGGCTGTATCTTCCTTCCCTTGACTTCAATGCTCTCAAAAAATACAAACCCCCCAAAAAGTGCGATGGGGTTAAAAAAGATGAAGCTTCCTCAGAAGCTGGGTAAGATTTATTGGCTGTAATAATAGTTTTACAGATTGTTTTTTTCTTCCTTTCCTTCTTTAAAATGCTTTTATTTTCTCTTTCTTGCAAAATAAATTATTTTCCATTCAAAGGAGAGAAACCGTATCTTGGTCTTGACTGTGCAGGACCACACCCAGGAAATCATGGAATATCTATGAACCACAGTCCTACATGTAACCAAAGACCCTTGACTCCCTGGACTCTTGGAACAAGAGAAAAATATCCAGTGCATTGTGAATCATTCACATAAGGGTCTGTTTTCCCACCACAGTCTCTGGTATGGATTAAAAGACATACAAGATACAATCAAGTTTGGGGTCACCCTATAAATGCATCTGGCCACAAGTATCTAATCTCTTAGAAACTGAGACTAAGAATTGGAGTTTAAGAGGGCCACCTCACTGCTAGCAAGGTTGCTAATTATTATCCCCTCTCCCTGGCAAGGCCTTTGGCTAGATTGACCTCCCTCAGCAGGAGCCAACTGACAGGGTTGGAGAAGTGAAAGACTAGATAACACGTGCTTCCAGGCTGGCAGGACACGGTATGAGGCCTGGACTCCATCTTAAAGTTGCCAGAGCTAATCAAGAAATGCACTGTTGCAAGAAGAGTAACTTCTGAAAATAGGCTCTCCCCACTCTCCCCACTAACTTCCTTTGATTTGGAGACTATGTCAAACCCAAGAGATTCCTTTTTCAAAAAAGCCCTAGTAACAGGAGTGAAAGATGTCTGATGTTCCCCACCTGATGAGAAGAAACTCCTGTGTCAGGATGGCAGAACCAAATGTAAATATAAGCTGCTAAACCTCTTTCTTGGTAAAAATTAATAATTTGCTACCATTTTGAGCACATAAGAAAGCAAGGAGCTAGCCAGTATGTAGGCAAAGGAAATTTCAGAACTAAAAAAAATGCCTTAAATGCCACCATGTATGACCATGTAATTTACTGCCCAAACTGGGATTCTTTGGGAAAAGACATTATTAATACTGATTCTAGGACCACAGGGATAAACTAGGGCTGCCCCAGCATACCGGGGCATACTTACTCTAGAAAATAGTCAAAGATTCTCTATTTAAAATCTTTCAATGATTCCCTATCACTTTAGCATAAATTTTAAACCAGTCTTCTCCCTATAACTTGGGCATATACCTCAACTATAGCACATATCACACTGGATGAAAAGTGCTGATTTTTGTCTCTCCACCCCAACCAGTCTCTGAATTAGGCCTTTATGCTCTACCTTAATTCTTGCCATATAGCAGCACTCAGTAAATACTAAGTGGCTTAGTAAAATTTGTGGTTGTTCATTCTCCACCCAACATCATAATGTTTAAGAGATTTTCTTGTAATGATGCTTCTTCCATCACTACATTACGTATCTTCCAGCTGTTATCTCCCAGCGATGTGACTTTAGGCAAGCTATTTAACCTCCCTGTGCTTCAGTTTAATTCACCTACATACATGGGAACCATAATAGTTTACACTTCACAAGATTATTTGGGATATTAAATGAGTTACTGTACATAAAAGTGCTTTGAGACAATGTCTAGCTCTCATAGAAAGCACCCAGTAAGTTTCTCGAAGGCAAAGATATTTGTCCCTTTTCATCATTACTGTAATACTCACACCGGAAATAATTCCTAGCAGAACATGGAACGCCTAGTAGTGCGTTTTAGCTTACTTAGTAAGTGTACTGAAAGCTTAATGACCTAAACTTCTTTTTTGTGTTTTTTCCAATCTTTTGCTTTGCCCACCAGTGCAACATCTCTGCATCTCACACACTACTGTATCTTTAACAAAACCTGGCACAATTCCCTTTCAAATGGGACACAGATAACTATCAAATGCTATGCCAGCAGTCAGAACAATTTACCTGAAATAGATTGCATTATACTCCTCAGCCTCCTGCCTACCACTTGTTCAATTTTAAGTACAGAGAATGACTGGGGGTTGGAAAATGACTCCAAGATCTTTTGAAGTCTAGGACTAAATGCAGAGGCTAACTATCAGAGTCAGGACTAAGAATAAGAAAAGATCACTATTACTTTGTGTTTCCATTTAAGGAAGATAACTACTTTGAGTATACTCATTCAAATATACACTGTACACAAAGTTACAAAAGCTGTAAATGATAAACAGTAATACAAATTCAGCTTACTTTTTAAAAAAGAATTTTACAAAAATAAAATTACCTAAAATTAAGCCCACCATTGTACTTAGATATCCGGTTCCACTTCCCAGGTTAAGAAAAGACAATCCCGGTTGAAGTTTCAATGCTTCCATAACTTCAGAATAAATGCAAGGTGCTGACAAGTGTATGTTCCCATGCTTCCAGGCTAAGTCTTTGTAAGCATTGTCTCGGTAGCCTTCCAAATAGTAATCTCCTCGATCAATTGCTCTGAAGGCTTGCTCCACTCTTTCAGTTCGGATATACTGAGCTTCTTTTAAGTTATCAATTAAGTCATCATTATCTTCCCCAGCACTCACAGCTCCTCCCATGATAGTATTCAAATCATAAATTTCAGAATGTAATAAAATTAGCGGAAATGGCTTCCAATAACGTGCAGTATGGTTTGTTTTCTTTTTAATATTGCACTTGATTTCCAAAAATAAGTTAATCCTGAAAGGGAAGAATAAAAATAAACATTCAAATTAGTATTCAAAAGGAAATTAATTCCAGTTTATTAAATATATAATAGTCATTATAACTACCATTTCTCAAGGACATATTCTGTTCCAAGTATAGTTTTAAGCTCCTTAAATACATTATTTTACTTATCCTTGTAACAACTACAAAAGGTGGCTTAAGTATGACCTCATCTGTACAGATGGCAAATTTGGAGCACAGCAAAGTCAAGTGACCTCATACTATGAGGCCCAATATGGTAGCCACTAGTCACATGTGGCTACCTAGACCTAATTAAAGTTAACTACTTAAAATTTAGTCAGTCATACCAGCCACATTTCTAGTGCGTAACAGCTACGTGCGGCCCAAAGCTGCCAGACTAGACAGTGCTGCTCTATAAAGAGACACTGTTGGGACACAGTCCCAGGTCTTTCAGTCTCCAGAAACCAGGCTCTTAATCGCCAAGCCATGGTGCCATCTTTAGAGCACTGTGAGTCCACTCTAATATGCACAGATTATTTGACTGATATAAAATTCCTAAACTTAAAATCTGCTAACAATTCCCAAATGTACCACATAAATTCAAAATGTTAATAAAAAAATAGTATATTACCCAAATACTAACTATAAAATATAAAAACAAAAACAGACCCATATTTTTAAAATGGATATGTGTGTATATAAAAATTGTTTTGTTTGGTAGCCTTGTTGTGATAAATAAGACAAGAAATTTTATTAACAACTTTAATAGTTTAAGAACCAGTACATTTTATACACACACACAAAATGAAATTCTTAACTCAGAATCTTTGAATGAAACATAAGCGCACTTGATAAACTAAATAGACTGTCAATACATAATACTGAATATACAATTTAAGCTTTATTTAACTATAAGTAATAACTAAATTCATATATCAATTTCCAAGTTAAAGAATTAGAAGACAGGGAAAGCAAGAAATGATATACCCCACCACGGTCAGAAACTAGAGTTATGATGGTCAGTCTCGCAGAGTTGCATCCCTACTCTTGACTTCAGAGAAGAAAAGCAATCAGGTCTCAAACTTTGTCAGGATCCTTAGAACACTGGTGCCAGGCTGCTCCAACACTCTTGGGTCAGAGTCCCTACTGGAGCATGTCCACATCTGTCTGTGTCCTCTTTTTGTCTTTTCTTACAATTTGTTTAAACTTTTTAAGTAAAGGAAGTACCGTGAATCCACATCACATTCTTGGCTAACTTATTCACACACACACAATCTTGGCTGACTCCAATGTCCCCCACAATCAATGAAAGAAATAATTTTATAAGTACAAGAGTGTATAGCACCATTTTCTTCCATGAGTGTTATTTCACAGCATGTAGTGTAATGGGAGATGTCAATCTGCTGTTCCTTCAAGGGCCTTAGTTTTGGCATCCTTTTGTAACTCAAGCACATCAACTCGTCGAGTGCAATTCTGGCATTTAAAGATTTCTTTTAATGACATGGCCTCTAAGCATAGGTTAACTTTTTCATCTGGTATTCAAAGAATGAATGTCTTCCCAAGGTGAAAGAAACCGGGGCTACATTACATTGATTCCTGTCAATCTCCAGGGTGTCACATGCCTAAGGATTTTATAAAAGTAATTGACTATGCAGAGACATTAAACAAATGGTTCTACTGGAAATGCCATAATTAATAGTTTAAAAAATTATCCTCCTTGTTTGGTTCTATGGCTGAAGAATGACCTGACCATTCGAAGGTCCTGTTGAACTCTAACCTATCCAAAATTATCACAGCAAAACAAACAACACGGACTTTACTACACAGAACCTCACACTCCTGGTGAGAAAGGTAAAAGGAATAATCAAGCAAATATGAACTACCATGATTTGCCGACAACATCCTAAGCCTACAAAGGAAAGTACTCTCACACCCACCTTAAATTGAGAAACTGCCTGTAAAGGGATGGAGTGCTACAATGTATGTGACCATTGCTACAGGAGCCCAGAGAAACCCAAAGTAGAAATTGAACCCAAGGACCCAGGAAAGCTTTCTTAAAAGCATGATTTGTGTAATATTATTAAGCAGTAAAAGAATGACAGGCTGAGGAAGCAACTGGTAATAAAGCCAGAGAGTGGATGATACTTTTGAGAAGTATCCCAGAGAACTTATAGTAGTTTTGAGAACTACATGCAGTTGGCTATTTTTTGGCATCATAAGGCCTTATCCTGTAGGCCAGCTATTTATTTATTTATTTTGTCTGAGCCCTTTCAAGAATCTGATATATATATGGTCCCCCTCTCTATTAAAAAAAGAAACAAACCAGAAGTCCTGCATATAATTTCAGAAGGCTCTTGAGTTCTGAGTTCATCAAAAAGTCCACTCTAATTTAAGAACTTCCACTATAGGCAACAGAGAGCCAGTCACAGATATTAACAAAGTAGGGGAATTACATTTCTCTTTAAGAAAGTGCAATGTAATCTCAGTTTCAGACCTACTACAACAGACCTGAAACCAGGTACTCTTGATGACTGGAGAAAAACAATGCATTGTCAACAAGGAGCAGCGCAAAACTGTGAAACCAGTTTTCCCCAACTCCTCTCTCTTCAGTCTGGTAGGAAAAACAAACAGATCTGAACATAAGGCTGTAAGGACATCCAAGAGGGGGTTGGCCAGGAAAGGTTTCCTGGAATAGGAGGTACAATCTGCTACAATACATGCTTCTTTAATACAAATTAGCTCATACAGTTAGCATATATAGTAATGATGTGTAGATAATGAGGAAGTTGTAGTGGTTCACAATACATATCCATGTGTTGAAGTGGTAAGAAGGTATAAGCTTCCACATATTAAAGAGATACCTGAGCAGCTTATTAACACTTTAAGCAAAAAATATATACACACACACACACACATATATCTATGTATATATATTTATGTAATTGTAATTATATATGACAACTACATAAACACATATACCTATCTATGTATATATGTGTGTATATATGCTGGTACAGAGTGTGTGTGTGTGTGCGCGCGCACGCGCATGCTAGTACAGTGTCTTCAAGTGGTCTGGAGAAGCTGTGACTACAGATTTAAAAAAAATGCTAAGACTTTTTCCCTGAATTAGACTAATGAAGGTTATACCCAGGTTCAGATTTTTTAATTTTGTAAAAAAGATAATCATTTGCAAGTAAAACTATACCCACAGGCAAACTGTATTCCAGGGCCTAAATCTTAGATGAGAAAAATGAACACTAGGGTTTAAGGCTGTGAAACACTGACTGTGAAGTTCCTAGCAAATCCCAGTAGGTTTAGCTGTGCTACAAATTTCATTAGGCTTGCTATTGTTTTAGCTGCTAAAATGGTTACACAATTGCACAGGTTTTGAGTGGTATGCCTCAAGGCTATTTTCCCCACAAGCCCTGATGTTTTGCAAAACATTAGTTGTTTTCAGATGTTACCATACAAAAACCCAGTACTTGATGTGTTTTATTTTAGGAGGCCTCAGAGACCCCAAACCACACCTGAATAACAGCAGAAATAATTACAGAATCAGAGGAGCAGAGCCACGGTAGAATCATATAAGGGTGTTAAGGGGCACCTAGCCCAAACATGTTGGAGGTGGGAGTGAGAATGAAAGGACTGAAAGACTTCCCTAGAGAAGATGAAGTCTTGGTAAGCACAGAAGGCAGAAGAAAGAAAGGCGTTCAGGGATGGAGAAAAGACATGGAGGCAAGAGGCAGTGCATCCATTCAAGACACCACATACAGAACCATACAGAGCTGAAGCACAAGGATACAAAGTAGTGGTTGGTGAGGCTAGAAGAATGAAGAGGAGGAGCCAGGTAAGCTCACAGGCCTCACAAGCCCTGAACTTGGACTTCCTCCTGCAGACAATGGCAATTTGGGAAGGCTTTTAGGGAATGAGAGGCATACCATATGACTAATCTCAAAATGAAAATGTAAAAGAAAATCCAAAATTGTAAAATAAAGGAAATATAATTACATTATTTGGTTGGGGGTGGAGTAATGTTTACATAGTTGTAATAGTAAAATCACAATTGCTTTACATTTCTTAAAAGATTTTTTATTTTTGTTTTCAGAGAGAGGGAGAGGGAGGGTAAAAGAGAGGGGGAGAAACATCGATGTCCGAGAGAAACACTGACTGGTTGCCTCTCACACAGCCCTAACCTGGGACCTGGCCCACAACCCAGTCATGTGCACTGACCAGGAATTGAACCAGTGACCCTTCAGTTTGCAGGTCAGTGCTCAGTCCACTGAGCCACACCAGCCAGGGCCATAATTGCTTTAAATTGGAATAATCATTCAACCACACTGGGAGGAGGAGAGGAAAGAGGTAAAGAAAGGGAATGAGAGATAATACCACACCTGTGATAACACAAAGTAAATGCTGTCTAAAATTAATGATTAAAAAAAGAAAAGCAGTAGAAGCATCTTAGCAATGTGGGGGTAACTTCCCTATGAAATTGTTAAAGGTGTTAAGTTTCCTCTGGAGTGTGAGCCACAGGGTGGAAAACAGTGAATACAGGAACTGTTATACTTTGTCTTCAAGGCTTGACTTTCTAAACCGTGTACATGCATTATTTGAACAAAACTGACAAAGTAAAATAAAAATAAAGGAGAAGAATACATATATATACACACATATATATATATATATATATATTCAGATCAAGTACAATAAAGACACATGGAGAAGAGTTTCCTAAGAAATAAAAATGCACTTAACAAATAAAATAGTCTATAGTAGAAAAATCGAGGAAAAGAAAAAAAAGAGATAATTTACACTATGAAGTTTCAAAGGTATGCCTTTTTACCATATATGTTATTGCTAAAATTGCAAGGAAAATAATAAATTACATTTGCATAATACTCACTGATTTGAATATAAAAGTAGTATGTACACTTGTAGGAAATTTGAAAACCAATTAAAATAAAAATTATTCATAATGCTGGCATTCAAAGAGCCATTGTTAACTTCCTAAGTAT